ACAGACAACTTGGCCAAACTCCAACAACAGCCTCTGCCTGAACCCTGCAGCTGCCGCCTCCACCTGTAGTTTCTGGCAGATAGCTGTGGCCAGCTCTGACAGCAACCTGCAGCCGCTGCCTCCACGTGCAGATTCTGATGGACAGCTTAACAAACCTCCAACTAGAGCTTCTGTCAGTAGTCTGCTGTTGTTGCAGGTTTGGCCAATTATTCATTTACAGCATCATCCAGAAACGCCGCTGAATCCTGTCCTGTATGATGTCCGGATCTACCGGATATCTGCACTGCCTCATCCTATGTTTTTGCCATGTGAAGACCTCAGCTGACCAGAGACCAGAGATGCACCAGGGACCAAAGAGCAGAGATGCATTCATAAATATAACCTTTCAGGTAAGATAGACAATCATAACTGTGTAATAATAGCATACCTGGGCTGATAAATTAAATCAATAATATAAAATATAATTTCTGTGACATTCATTTTACATCATCTTCTTCTAACAGGTATTTCCATACCTACATCTACAGCCTCTGTCAGGAAACCTGCAGCCGCACCGTCTACCTGCAGATTTTGACAGACAGGTTGACAAAACCTCAAATTGAGCCTCTGCCAGCAGCATGCACCCATGGCCTCCACCTGCATATTCTTGCAGACAGCTTAGCCAAACCTCCATCTACACCCTCTGCCAGAGACCTCTACCACGGCCAACTCCACCTGCAGTTTCCTGCAGAGAAATGTGGCCAGAATTCATTTACAACATCATCCAGAAATCTACACCGCTGAATCCTGCCCGTTTGCCATGTGAAGACCTCAGCTGACCAGGGACCAGAGATGCACCAGGGACCAAAGAGCAGTGATGCACACATAAATATAACCTTTCAGGTGAGATAGACAATCATAACTGTGTAATAATAGCATACCTGGGCTGATAAATTAAAGCCACCTGTCTGTTTGTGATGGCTCCTTGGCCTCTGACCTACTTTTTGTTTGGATGCCTGGGATCTAGGGAGTGGCTCATTAGGAGAGATGGCTAACACCTGATTTGGTGTGAATGCTCACCTATTTATATTGGGGACTGCACATTCAGTTTAAATCATCTTCTTCCTCTAACAGGTATTTCCAAATGTTGTGTGAAAGAGCACCCAGCCATCAACAGAAATCGGACTTGCCAAGATGCTGAACTTCATCCACCAGAAAGAGCTTTTCTTCTGCCAACTGGTTTGATATATATCTATATCAGTAAATTTGGCTTGAATTGGTTTGAAAATGCTTGTTTGTCTCTCACTTTCTTACAAGTCATCAGTGTCTACTGTCTACAGTTTAGAATATTAGTATGTCACTACGAAGAGTCTTGAGTTTCAATTCCCAATAAGCCATCAGCAAAAGCTCATCAGTCATCTGCAATTATAACACATGTTAATGAAGTAATGAAGTATTAACGGATTTGTATAGTAATCCATTGATTTTGCAGTTGTAAATGTCATAAAGTTGATTAGAAATTGATTTTGTTTTCGATGGCCTGCAGCCCCCTTCCAGAAGGTCAAACATTTATCTTCCTGATAAAAGGAATTCCAAATATAGCATCATTCAGATCAGATGTAGTTTTATGATATTGAAATTACAGTTTGGGGCTCTCCTGACGTTCTGTGTCTTCTGTGTGTAGAGCAGGTGTCACAAAGTGCTTCACAATTAAAGACAAAAAAGCAAATAAAAGACAGCACAACAGACACAACATACAGACATAAAAAAAGTCAGTGCTATGCCTAGAAACAAACAAAGCACTGTTGATTTAGTTTGTAGGGCACATTGCAATGTTTAAATGCTGCATGTTTTACATACCTTTGTATAAGAGTCAACTTTTCAGTCTTTTTTCCTATAAACAAGTTATGGCAGACCCAGTATTACAATCACTAAAATACAAATACCTCAGGGTGCATGCACCCCTACAGTACCCTAACAATTAAAATGCTAACATGATTATAAAACAATGCTAAAACCCCAAAAAGTCCAGCTTACCAGAGCCACAGGGAATGCACACAAAGACCCTGAGGAGAATGAAGCCTGCAGTCTCACCTGCTGCCAATCAGCTCCTCCTCCAGTTCCTGTCTCCCCTGATGGGTCTCTGGACTAGCGACCTACTGCTGCACTAGTAGGCTACTAAAAGACAATCAAAAAATGAAAGAGAGAAAGGAGAGAGAGGAGAGGCAAAAGAAAGGGTGTCAACATGTGAGCCATTTTTTCTCCAAGAAAGGTGGGTAGCCTATAGTCTGTGAGTGGTAGAGATTAACCTGTTAGCTTAATGTCCATAGTGAAATAAGATAGCTACAGACTAGCGTTAGCCTACACATCACTCCTTTTTAACCTACATTTAATCAGTGCAGGTAAATGTGCAGCAAGATATTCATATTAAATCAGTTGTCCCTGCCCCTTTTACCAGACTCAACAACAGATGAGTCAGAAGCAGCAGCCCTGTCTCCCCATAACTTTACCCCTCCTCATCCCAGTGAAGAAGGTGAGCAACACATGCCAGTTAGCATCACTGCAGGGAGTCTGTGGGAATTTCTCTCTCTCTCTTGCTCTTTTTTACCATTACATAAAAGAAAAGGAAATATTTTTTAATGACAGAAATTCAAACAAATTATTTTTCCACATAATGATTATTATGAAACAAAAACAGCTGACAACTGTCTGTACTGGATGCTGGACAGTTGGAAACATTAAGTAGCCTGTATTAAATTTACAATATTAAAGTAATCCAGTTAGATGCTTTCATTTAGATTGAATTTCAATTTCAACTTTATTTTCTTGTTGGCATATATGTGCAGCTAAGTTCAAAAATCTGCTGTTTTCATTATTTTGAGATGATGATCTTAATTTATTTTGATTGAAAAGTTAATTTATATTTAATTTTTTTTAAGTCTTTCATTAATGTTAAGATACTTTTCCATTTTGGGATTTTACAATAAAAATTACATTTAGACTGTAAAAGATGGCCTTTAGCACATTTTTTATGGTGGCTTGTAATCTTGCATCAAATAGTGAATTGCATACTGTATACAGACTGTTGCATGTACAACTCACTAGCAGTAAATATTGTACTGGCAAGACAGTTGCAAGCTTTCAAAGTTAGAGTTATGTAAAGCTCCTAGATCCTAGAGATGTGGTTACAACAGCTGCGCAGGGGGGCCCAATGTGATTTTTTTCCATGGGGCCCAAAGTTCCTGGCAGCGCCCCTGCGAGTGTCAGTGCCATAATCTTACCTTGGTCTAACCCTAACCACGTCCTTGTATGTACCTAAGCCTTACCACAGCTGTGTCACACCATAAAACCGGATATGGTCGTCGACAATGAGTTAATCTGTAACAGAGGACTTCACCCGCCTCCTGATTATGGCGTCACATCATAGAACACTGTGTGTCGTCGTAACAATTACAAAGGAGCCATTTGTCGTTTAATGTGGAGGACTTTTGAGCCGTCAGCTGACTGAATGTTACCAGCTCTGTGCATGTTGGCCACAAATATGGGCTCATTTCTCCCTCTAGTGGTCATAATGACGCCACGCCTATTAGAAACCAGTCAAATACCACGGATATCGACAAAATCTAATCGCATTCGGCTAAAAGCAAATTTAATATACTCATATAAATGGCAAAAATAATATTTTTATCATGATGAAAATAAAAATATGAGTGTCAACTTGATCGTAGGGGGTATAGCTCAGTGGTAGAGCATTTGACTGCAGATCAAGAGGTCTCCGGTTCAAATCCGGATGCCCCCTGGAAACTTTTCAGTGACTGTTTTCTTAAAATCTATGCTCTTGTGAAGGTAGCGTGCGTTTCCACAGCCACAAAATCACGTTAATTGCTGCGATGAGGTTTTCAGTAGGCTAACTGTAATTTGGCTCCATCAAATCAGTGACAAACAGAAAGAGAAACTGCACATATGATCTCATACTATATTTATTTATTATATTTTCATAAGATAAGATAAGATAAGATATGATAAAACTTTATTAATCCCACACTTGGGAAATTCACATGTCACAGCAGCTCAAAGCACAGACAGAAAAAGGAGGGTGGCAATGTTACTGCAATAAAAGAAAATTAATGATTAAATAATATAAAAAATGTGTATACAGTGTATATATATATATATATATATATATGTATATATGTGTAAAGTAAGGCACTAAAGTGAATTACTGTACACACAAGACTATTAACAATATATATACATCTGTGCAACACTGTCTTAACTGCACAATAATTGGTGCAATAATTCAACCACGCAATATTCTTTTCAGCATCCTAATTTTTATACTATTCTTGAGTGCATATTTAACATATAAAGCACATATGGTACATACATCCAACATTTTTTTCTGTGGACATTACGCCACTAAGTTATTCATGCATTTTTGTCATCTTTTGTCCAAACTCATCACCTCTTTATATGTCCCAACTTGTCTGAAATAAAATGTGGCTCAATCACTTTCAGATTGTCATGTTTTATTATGATTGTTTTATGAATGAAAGATTTATGCCATTGAGTCAAAGTCTTAGTAATCAATTTACAGGTAGGCTACATGTCTGCACACGGGCGGTGTGAAAGAAGCAGGTGTTGTCTTCATTTGAAGAGAAGGGTTTATTTTGTTGCATGGCACTCTGTAAAATACATTTATATATATAGTATTTCTAGAACTTTACATACTAGTTTTATTTATCACATATATATTTTTCATGCTTCTTATTTTCATGCTTTATATTTCTACTTTCTTAAAAATGCCGTATCACAGTTTTCCCTTAGGGATCAATAAAGTGTTTCTGATTTCAATACACTCATATTGCAGCTGTGAATAAGAGTGTTGGCTCAGTACTCACATATTTGTGTCATTACTGTGAGGCTACAGCAGGTATAACCCACCCTTCAGCTCTAGGCTGTGTATGGCTTGTTGAAACAAAGGATATCACAGCTGCAGGACAGACAACACACCCACTGCGTATTTGTAATAATAATATTTATTTAAAAAAAAAATACACAATATAATACACACTTTTTAAATATGACTCATAGTCATTAGCAGCTAGCTCTTTTTATTATCCAGGTAAACAGTTTAAGAGCTTTTCTTTTCCCTAAAATAAATTACTAAACATGTTTAGGTCTTACAAAGGCGTCCTGTTGTTCAATGGCATAAAATATAATTTTATACATCAGGTGCAGACTTGTGTCCCAGCATGGCAGAGTTTCTGAAGTATGTGCTTTATAGTTTCTTCTCAGCTGTGGTAAAGTCCACCATGATAGAAACATAATACTAGGCAGCGTCTAGAAGTAAGGTTGTGATTGGAAAGCTGTTTTGTAACTAGCAAGGCACTAAATTCTGCGGCAGAAGTCGTTCAGATGAATTAAGAATGTCATAAATCACCAATCAAAGGTCAAAATGAGATTGCGGTTGTCAGTTCAAAGCTTAATGTGTTGGCATAGGAGGAATGAAAGGGCACCAGATCAGCCTAGTGACATTTAAATATGAGGAAACCAAGACTTTACCCATAAAATATATGCTTTAGTGTTACCAGTTATCATCTGTGATCTGGCTTTGAAGTGTGGGTTGTGACCTCTTTGGTACAACTTGATACTGTCACTTATTTATCTCAGGTGAAATGAAAGAATCCCAGTGAGACCTGAGTGGAATGTGATATTACAGGTCAGGTCAGATGTCTAACATGCACATGAGGCACCTCTTTACAGGGAAATTTACAGTAAATGCACACAACAGTCCCTCATTGTGAACATCTACGTAACCACAACTGAGAAAAACAGTTAACCAGATTATTAAAATATAACCAAGCTGTGTCTGCACAGTACAAACATCAACATATTGAGTCTGAATTTACTGATATTTGGAGCAGTGTCTCCAAGATGACCCAGATTTCTCTGTTGCTCATCCCACCCTGAAGCCCCACACAGCCTACAGCTCATAATGTAGGTGTGGCGAGGCAGGCTCTATCACAGACGCCATGTTCACAGGACTTTGCCCCAAAACACTGAAAGTAATCCTGACTCAGTGTCTTTGAGGTTGGCTCAGTTTGAGGAAGTTTGATCCACAGGTGCGTGTTCTAGTTTGCAACAACTCGTGACTTCATCCAGTCCAGACTGGCAGGTAGACTGAGAGAGGGCGGAGACAAAGACAGAAGCATTTTGAGTAACAAGAAGTGGTTGTTACAGTAAAAGTTATGAAGGCGTTTTTCTCTTGACTCATACACATGATAACGCCAGACAGAAAGAGAGAGTGTGATGTGTGTTCAGACTCACCCCTCTCCTGTCAGGGCGCAGCAGGCTTGAACATGCCACGAGTGTGATGAGATGGAGTTGAGTGTGAGGCACTGGGAGATCTCTGCCGCCGTCATGGAGCCCTTCACGTCTTGTTTGTTGGCCAAAATAAGAATGGAGGCATTCTGTAGGTCCTGAAACAAGAATAAGAGAGGACGGGTTACCAAGGCTGCTTTTAGCATCAATTACTATTTATATAGCCGAAATATTTCCCCTAGAAAACCCCAGAAATGTCCCCGGGTCAACTATGAGGAACAAAGAAAAGCAACCTCAGCGGAACATTTAGACACATGTCAACACGCTGACTCACACAGTCTGAGCTGAAACTTCCTCATCATGTAGTGTCATGGGTTTGTAACCTGTGGCGCAACTAGTCACACTGAAAGCAGGAGTGTGTCTCAGACGTCAAGACATGAATAGCTGACTTGGGCAGTTTCACTGAATAACAAAAGGGTTTCACGTCAACTTGTGAAAAACAGTCCTGCTGCAGTGGTGAAAAGTAACGAAGTACATTCATGTACTGTACTGTGGTATGATTCTGAGGTACTTGTAGTTTACTTGAGTATTTTATTGTAACTTCCTGCTACTTAATACTTTTACTCCACCACATTTATTTATTAACTTTGGTTATTTTGTGAATTGAGATTAATAATACAAAATATAATCAACAAATATTGCCTAGGGGCCACATTTGCAAAATGACAGGAAGTCAGGGGCCAGTTAATAAAAAATATATATATATATATTTATCAGTATATGTAATAAGTACATTGCTAGTTTTCAACCTTTTGACAATTGCTGTTCTCACTCATCTTTGCGAGAGGTAAATCCAGTCGCAGCAGCCCTGCACAGTTCAAGTGTGTGCAGTGCGTTTCTAGGATTTGAACGACCCAGCCTGGACCTCTGTTGGACCTCGCTTTTTTTTTTTTTTTTTTCAGATAAACAAGCTCTATTTTGATGTTTTTTTATGTGCTGTGGCACCTTATCTAGACTCAAACTTTAAAAAACTCCCAGTGTGAATCAATCGTGGGTCACATCTGGCCTTCAGGGTGCAAACTGACAATCACTATCCTACAATATGATGTAGACAAGACTTTAGTGATCTTTGGGGGAAAATTCAAAAGCTATCCAGCAGTATAAAGTACTTAAGATAAGCTACATTAAAGTGATGAACACATTAATGCATCAGTCACTATAACCCAATGACATGTTATTTTTAAATGGGCCACTCTACATAATGAGTAATTTTACTTTTGGTATTTTAAGTAGATTTCAATGCTGATACTTTTACTGAAGTGAAATTTTAAATGCAGGACTTGTACAGAGGATTTCTAAACCATTTGTCTAAAGTGATTTGTGATAAAACATCTGGCAGGTAATGATTCTAACACTGACACATTTGTCGACACAGCTGTATTCGTACCTCATGTGCGAGCATTCGGTGCAGCTCGTCTTTGGTGACAGTGAGGCGCTCACGGTCGGTGCTGTCCACGACCACAATGACAATCTGAAAGAGCCACAATCAGTCGTTAGCAACACAGTCAACACATGTTTGACATTATCAGTGTTATCAGGTAGTGGGGACAAGATGCTTCCTACAGACATATGTAATGTATAATAAACGATTATATAACAGTGATAAGTCACTTTATCAATACAGGGAGCAGGAGAGGTTCATGTGCTATAGCTCAGTCAGCACGAGCCTGTAAATGTTTTCAGTCTTAACTCTTGAACATCTAATCTCACACTATAGTGTTAACCATCAGTTATATAACTTTTTAAACAACAAACAAAAGACTAGGAAACTTCAGCTAAACTTTAGATAAAAGCATCAGCAAAATGTTTCTGCCCTTTATGATTCATTTTTAAAATATGAAATGTGTTTCAGTATCCTGTGTCTTGTATGTGCTGCACAGAAAGGGATCCATGTACCTCCGTGTTGCCGTAGTACGAGTACCAGCTGGCTCGAAGGCTCTCCTGTCCTCCAATATCCCAAATCAAGAAGTGTGTTTTACGTATGGTGATCTGCTCGACGTTGCTGCCGATGGTTGGTGATGTGTGGACGGCTTCCTTTGTCAGACTGTTTGTGCGAGGAAAAACATTTTAAATACATATATCAAGGAGATTTTATACTTATATAACACTGTTATAGGCTCAGATAATAAATCACTTACAACTGATAGAGGATAGTTGTCTTTCCAGCATTGTCCAAACCCACAATGATGACTTTGTGCTCTGTGGAAGAAGTAAATAAAAACAGGACTTTTAAAACTAACAGTGCAAACTGGATTTGTTACTCTCTAACCTTGGGTTGCATAATTTGTGTAGGACAAATTGACACACAGATAAGATAAAGGACAGGTGATGTACTGAACAGAGTAGCATGTATCTTATCCACAGTGGAGTTATTACATCACTTCATACCAACAATACCAGGCTTCATACTGTCTGAGTTTCACTGTAAGTCAGAATACTGTAAAAAGAAGTGTGTGTGTTTGAAGTGATCAAAGGAAACTACATGTTGTGACTATTTCTTATAGAAATTTGTATTCTAATTTCATTTAATCTATTGACAACATATGATTTAAGGATCTATATACCCGTATATGCTTAAAATGCTGACATACAACATAAATTATGAACCTGAAATTAACTTAGTCTTACCTCTGTCACCGAACACAGCCATCATCTTGGTCAGAAGGAACCCCATGTCCAACAAGTGTGTGTGCGAGAGGTGAGTGATGAATACAAATCCTCTACTCGGTCGGTTAACAGCTGACTGGCAGACAGACTCTAATGTCTTTATCTAATATCGCTTTCCACTTCTACAAAGCGTCAGTGGGCGGCGCTTCTTCGACACAAAGTCTGTGGTATTTTTTTCGGTCGAGTGAGTCACGGGGAAACGGCGTAGTGGTGATGCGTTGAGGTGCTGTGGGAAACGTGTGAATCATGCACGTGAGGGACCCCCCTTAGGAAAGGTAAACATCTCGGAAGGTGTACATGTTACACCTAGCCAGAGCTAATGTAGCCCAGCTAACACACCAGTCCTGCAAGAAATCCTCCTTGAAACTAAGAGTAGGCTTTATGGTTAGTAGCAAATGGGATTAAATGTAGAGTTTGTGTGGGACATATATGGAAATCATCCACTATATAGCAGTTGTTTATGGTTTAACTAAATACTTTTAAATAGAAAAGTATTTGCTTTAATGTATGACATTTAAAAGTAGTCTTGAAAGTTGATTGATCTTGAAATACACAAACATAAACAACAATAAAAATGAAGTTATTAATATTTTTTTAATATTTTGGTTTATTTAAATCAGAAAAGGACTAAAATGGGTTGTAAGTGTCAATTATGATCAGCTGAGAAATACAAAAAAGCCATTTTAATGCTCACTAATGATACACGTTATTTAAAGAATGAAAAACATCACTGATTTGGTTTATAATGTGTTGCTGCTGATTATTTCTTTTTAATATGCTGTTTTCTGCTTCCGGTTTTCCAAACTCCAATTAAACATATCCAACTCCAAATTCTACTTGAGCCCTCGCATCTCAGAAGTCGGATTCATTCATGAGCACCTGAAGGCAACACACAACACAAGCGTTCTTCTTGCTCACGCCGACGGAAGGAGTGGACTGATGACGCAGCTAATGACTCACATGTCCAGTCCATATTTGGAAAGAGAGATAACGTTGTTCCTGCAACAGAAAGCAAAAGTGGACATAAAAGGAATCTCCGAAAATTTCCGCTGAAGTCTGTCCAGGTATTTTCCAAGTACTTACCCACAGCAGTGTTTTTCTGGTTAGGTTTCCTTTCCCAGCCAAAGTGTTCTAAGTTTATCTGTGTTATTGACATTTTCATTTTACTTTAAATGTCATAATTTCCTCAAAACTACTGTGTTCTACCAACAATAATAATAAAACATCTGTATCTCCTTTTTACCAACTGTATTCTCTCAGCTTTCTGCCATAACAAAACATCTGTGTTCATTACTTTAAATATCTTATTTGTTTGCAATTATGTCCAGAGTTTCAACATATTGCTGTCATAACTTTTTGGCTAGTAAGGTTTTCCATTACTTAACAAAAAAATTAACAGATAAGCATAATCTGAAAGTGGAAAGTACTGTCCTTGCCTACAGTTTTAATGTACTTGTACTTAAGTTTACGTGAGCATTTCCATTTCATGCTGCTATACTTCTGCTCCACTACATTTCAGTGGGAATATTGCACATTTTACCCAGTTACATGTATTTAACACACACACACAGTCACTATCTACTGTACAGGTTTAGGATTATAATATTAAATATATAACAAAATATAATGATTTGTTTGTGGACTAAACTGCCAAACAGTATGTAAACAAGATGTCTAGGTATAAGAACCTTAAATTTAATGCTTTAAAAGATCCTTTAGGGTAATTTAAGACTGATTTTTACACAAATCATCTTATTTTTATTCAAGCATTGCAGCTAAATATAAAGGTAAGTAGTATACGTATATGTAGCCCCGTGCAGTGGTAGGTAGGTTTTATGTAGGAATATGGTTATTAGAGTGAGCTGGGTTAATCTACATACAACAGGTCGGCACAAGTATGATGTAAAGAGACAGTGTGAGGTTCAGTGGTAGGTTTAAAGATCTGTAACATCAGAATATGAACTTTCATGCAGAGGAGTTGACAAAAAAGTAATTTAAAGATGGATTAACTGATTAGATGAAGAGTTTGTGGCAATTAAGACCTCACAATTTCAAATTTGAGATGATTTAATGACCTTTAAGGCCTAATTTTTTTAGGACACAGACACCCTGATACAGTGTATAACCTACCCTGACTAGCTAAAACAGTAATATCCTTCTCTCATGTAAATGCACCTGTAGTAACAGTCCAATCATGTAATAGTTTTAAATTTAAATCACTCTAACATAGGTCATTCTGCTGAATTAGTATTTTACGTGAAGTGAATTTGAATGCAGGGCTTTAACTTGTCACACGCTAAAAGTAAACTGTGGTAATGATATTCTTATTTAAGATACAGTAAATGACATGCATACTTCTTCCACCACTAAGCTGTTAAAGCTTCTGTGGCATATTGCAGCACTCTCTGTACACCAGGCTCTTGCCGACACACCTTGTTAAACAACACCCTGATGCAAAGTTCACGTTTAGGTTTCAAATGGAAACCACAATGTCGTTTGTGACATTTCCTCAACTGCAGATGATGAGATGACAGAAACACTGCGTACGATAAATAAAAAAACCACATCCTGGATACAGCTGCCTTTTAACTTCAGTCTTTTTCTCATTGTGTTTCCTCCATGACGGGAACGCCTAGCAGGCTTGATCAACTGTGCTGCAGTTAGAAAAGAGTGTTGAGAAGTTCACAGTTCCTGTCTACGCAAATGAGGTAACAATAAAGTGACGAAAGTCCCGGTACATTTTGTCTTCCTGTGCCAAGATCTGTTGAGCGGAAGCCAACAATTTGGCTGTTGTTTAGGTTTGGTAGGTTTACACCCATCAAAGCATGTTGACCGGACAGCTTCTACAGGCGGGGTGATATTAGGTTTTATATTAGACACAATATGATTATGTGATCATCTTTTGTTGTAGTAATGACGTTAATGAAATAATGAAGGTAAAGAGAAGCTTGCTCCTTTGTTTTACATGGTTTTTTTTTTCCCTGAACTGAAATAACGTTTTATGTCCTGGGAGACATGAAAGGCAACACCTCTGATAAATACCAAAGAGTACACATACAGGTTCTGCATCTTTCAAATCTGTCTTCACATCTCATGAAGCGACACCATGACATTTTCTGATTAAATTTTTAATTAAAATACGAATTTATCCACAGATTAAAAATGAAAGGCAGAAAAAGCAAAATGTAGCTACAATCAGGCACCAATGATACATGTTATTTCATATTTTTAACAATTGCGATAACGCAACAATAACATTATTTACTGATCATTATTTAATATTTATTTATTCAACTGAAGACAGGCGGGGGCCAAAGCAGCCCACCAAAGACATTCATGGATTCTCCATTATAGATAACTGAGTACTGATCCTACACCCCACCCCCCACCCCACTTGATACTCCTCTCACTACCTCACAAGAACTGAAGATTTAAAATAAAATTAAAAAAATTGCAAATGTCCACAGGAAAAAACAACACTAATTCAGTCAGAAATCAAGAGTAAGAACAGAGTTGTATTTAATATCAGACAAGCTAGCTGTTTGGGTGGAAGTTGGGAGTGATTAACCGCACACACAAGTACTTTTTTTTTTTATATAACCATTAGCCCTGAAAAACAGACGACGAAGCTGGTGCAAAGAAAAAAACGACATGTGCAGGAGAGACAGCATGGGCTACAGTGCAGAGTAGCCACGAAGACACACAAAGAGACACAGATATGGTATGAAAACGAGTGTTAACAAGAGTTAAGACATCCCACCGTGGCAGTGGTGGACATGGCTTGGCGAGACATTCCGGCACTTGTGATTGGAGTTTTCTTGAAATAAGGGTGTTTTAGGGTGCGAGTGACTAAGGCAGGACACTTCATTCACACAACTGCAGTGCTTCCTTGAATCTGCACCACGTTAGAAAAACCAGAGAACAAATGAAAACTGTCGGCGCCCCGCAGCGCCCACGAGGGAAAACAGGAGGACTGGGTCAGACGTGTACAGTCGGGTACAGTGGCTGAACCAGGTCAGGGAAGAAGTAAACGTCTTTGGAGTGTACTCTTTGTTGTTATCAAGCTGACATGAACGTAGCAACATCGATAAATTGTTGTGTTAAAATATGGCAACTTCTCCACCAGCTTTTTTTTTTTAAGGTCTGGGTGATAAGAACGTGGAGGTGAGAGACTCTTAACTTCTGGATTACAGTCAAACCCTGAAATCCAAAAGCGCTGAGTGAGATTAAGGTAAAGAGAAACCCTGACACTGTACATGGGGACGGTGACATTAGACCCTGTTTAAGACTGCAGAGGACAGACATGACGGACTACAGCTCTACCGGCCTTCACACTACAACTGAAGGAGAGATTGAGTCGTACAGATCACAATCAGAGATTCACAATCGTAACAATTACTGTCCTCGTGCTGTCAGTATAGAAATCCATGATAATCATGCAGTATTAACAAAGGAAACAAAAGAACAGACCAATATTTTTTCTAAACGTAAATAAATTGAACTGCAAGAAGAAGTTGATGAAGATGGCATCTGGCAGTTGATGTTTTTCTTTACATTGTACTGGGATGTAAACAGATTAATTTGTTAGCCCGACTGGCGTGGCCCCAAACACACACTTCAGTTCTGTCTGAACCCAAAACCTGAACCCTCCCCGCCTCCCTCCCCCCATCTCTCAGTCTGTCCTGTAGCTTCCTTGCCTCTGTGGTGTGATGCGTGTTCAGCGGATGTAGACGTCCCTCCCCCAGTCGTCCTGGTTCTTGTTGCGGCTCATGTTGGCCCCGGTGTCCACAGGGTCCTGGCAGTAACGCTCCCTCAGCTTGGCACGTCCATGTGGCTGTGTCTGGCTCGGCATCGGAGGGTGGTTCAGGTTTTCCTGGTCCGGCTCGGCGCCTTCATCTTCCCAGGATGCCTGTCTGCCATGATGCTGCGCCAGGTGGAGGCGGCTGCCTCCGCCACCTCGGTAGGGCTCGGGCTCTTCATAGGGGTCAGTCTCAATGTCCATGCAGGAGTCGCCGGCCTCGGTGTAGGCAGAGTCCCGGCTGCCCTGCGTCTCAGAATCGAAGGTGTCTTGCCGTGACAGACCCCGGCCGCTCCCTCCCCGTAGCTGGCCACGAGAGGAGCGCAGGTACGTTTGCTGCTGCTGCTGCTGCTGCTGCTGCTGCTGCTGAGGTTTTCCTCCCAGGTCTGTCTGATAGTCGTGCAGGGTGCCACTCCCGCCGCACTCTGTCAGAGGCCCTTCCCGCTTCTGCTCACCGTGCACCAGGTACGGCCCCTGCAGCCAGCCACAGCCATGCCACACAGCAACCATGCAGAGACACAAACAGCAGAGCAAAACCAAACTGTCAGTGGTTAGTCGGCGGGGTTAGCACGAGGCAGGGCATACAACACATACACATAACATCAGACTCATTGTTCCAGCTGAAGGACCTGTTGTTATAGAAGCATTAGTGCTCATGACAGACATCAGTCTATTATTATTACACGGCTTTGCTGAATACTTGATTCTGATCAATTAGGTGTTCTGTGGACTGCTGCTCTGAATAACAGGCCGCTGCTATAGACACAATTCTATTCACGGTCACAGACTCTGGATGAAGCAATAAAATGCAATTTTTCCAGATTAAAATGTCTGAAAACGACCAGACTATTGTTATATATTTGAGTTGAATATAGTTGAGTTGCGCACTTACATTATCCCAAATGTCACCAATAATGTCCACCCACAGAAATTTGTACATTTACTCAAGGACACAGTCCATGTCATTTAGTTGCCATCGCCTGTCAGTGACGCACATATGTCAGGGCTGCATTTGTCTGCCAGAAGCTGTCCTGGATTTACTTTTAATCTAGTTTAAAGCCACATTTTTATGATACACGTTTTAGATCTTGGGTGTTTTTAACTATATGTTTAAACTGGATGAAGGATTTTAGTGATCAGAGGAGTGGATCTTAAGTTATTAGAGAAACAAGCTGAGCAAATGTTAGCTGCAGCTTGGCTCCAGGGCCTGCTGTGCTCAACAGCACTGGAGAAAGACAGATTTTCTACGTGTCTTTACAGGCTTAAATCACCAGGTGTTTTGTTTTGGAGAAGAAGAGTCCTCCCTGTAAAAACCTACTAAACAATGAACACCAAAGTAATTCTAACCAGGAGACTGCACTGATGGCATTGCTCTGTATTTTGTTAATGTGTTGATGACGCCTAGCAGCAGAAAATCACACATTATACATTTTAAATCAATATTTTGTTTCACATTATTGTTTTCATTAGTAAGTAGCCATGTAATAAGTGGGATAATGTGTAGCGAGCAGGTCATTATTACTGAGACTGGGTGATTCAATGATGAATAAAGACCCTGCATCACCCTGTCAGGGTTAATTGCCCAAAAATGACCTGCTCGCTGTAAGTTATCCCTCACATAACACACACACATTCCATGTTTTCACAATGTGCACACACACCGACTTACACTCGAAAACACAAGCACATTACAGTAATTAGTTACAAATCAGTTACTAGATCTGATTAGTTTTACTAATGGATGGTTTTTGAAATCATGATACCTCCCTGCAAACACACAAGCAGACTGAGTATCTCACATTACAACAGTGCCACCTTCTGGCTGTTTGACCTCATGGCAGAGAATAGCAGAAATATTATTATGACTATCAAATGATTACGTAATCAATTCAACTCTGCAGCACATGATGTTCATACTGAAGCAATTATACTTAATAAGAAAGACCAAAAGATCTGAAGGGCAACTGGGTCTTGTGTTCGTCTTGTTGTCTCTATCATGACAGCCTCAATAAAAATGGCAGCAGGAGATATAAAACATGTTTCCAGCCATTTGGTTCAAGACTGCTGCTTGGGTGCCATACTGTCAAAGATGTAAATATCTTTGACAGTATGCGACTCATCATAATCAATGTGCAGCCAGTAGTGACTAAGGAATAGAGACACAGCTGATTAGTACTTTGCTGTTAAAAAAAGTCTATAAAAAGATTAAACTGGACAGATTGTTAGCAACAGCCTCCACCAAACTAAGCATTTCTGTTTGAAGAGGCGGACATGACTTGCTGTTTTCAGGGGCGGTACCATGGCAACACGGAGGAGGACAGAAAACTGGATTCAGCCTCCCAGAGAAGAAAAAGTGCTGGAGAAAGGAGGCCACGGAGCTAAAGAGGGCAGGGTGAGGGGGGGAGCAGCAGATATCATTTTACTCGTGATTACAACGAAATGGAGGCAGCCCCACAGCAGAGGTGTCTCATAGGTTACTCCTTAAGTCCAGTGTGGTTTGAGTTGAGCTGCTCTCACAGTTTCAGCAGTGCAGGGACGTGAACGCTGACCTGCTAACATACGGACTACGTAATCTGTCTTGTGGGTGTTCTGACAGCTAACAGTTCGTGTGTGTGTGAATTTGGCTCATCTTTGTGTCAGGTGTGTGAATGTGTATCTGTGTTGTGTTTCTATATACAGCATGAACACGGTTTTAATGCACTTTCCCTTCAGGGTAAAGAGAGCAGGCTGCTGGGTCGAGGTTGAGTTGCCGGAGTCGTCCCCCCCCTCCCCCCCCACTCTCTCTGCTCGACTTCAGAGAGCATGTTCTTCCTCTTTCCCCTCGCTGGCTACAGCACCGTCCATGTCAGGCCACAGATCCATATTTCTGCGCAGGGAGGTGAGCACCTGTACCTGCAGGTTGGAGACGGGCTCAGGGGAGGCGGCCAGGGCTGCCGTGGCCATGGTACGGTTCAGCAGAGGGTTTGGAGGGTTGCTGCTCGGGGGATGTGTCGCCTTCCAGTACGCCTCCAGGTAGTCGGCCAGGTGCTCGCAGGCGTCCTCCAGCTGGTTCTCGTCCAGGATGATGTCAAACAATTCCTGCATGTGAATAAAATAACAATTACAGAGCCAAGTAAAACCAACAAGTTTTTTTTCTTGTTTTAACACTTCTAAAACCTGTTAGTTCTGTTACTGTTAGCAAAACTCACAGGTGGACACTGGGCCAACTTGTCTGCTGCCACCATCTGCACATTTAGGTGTTTAGCCTGGGACTTCCCCCTAGACTTGATGAGCCTCTGGAGGACCTGCAGGGAGACAACAGCACTGAAACTACAATTCACTCAAACTCACATCGCAGATATGCATAAAAACGCAGTTTGAATCCAGGGTGGGAATGGCGGACTCTGCAACTAACAATCACTACGTTTACATGCACAAAATATTCCTGTTTTTGCCCTTATTGTGAAAAAGACAATATTCCTACTAAGCTGTTTACACGTCTAATGAAAATGAATATCCCACTAATAGACCCGTTTGCATGCAGCCGTGCATACTCTGATTTAAAAGTCCTAACAAGCAATTTATTATGTCAAAATATGGAACAGTGGAACAGCTGGAGCTGCTTGTCATTTTGCATCAAAACAGGATTTCCTCGAAGTTTGCTACTGGTGACAGACTTGTTGGACGGTGCAAACACAGCCTCCTTCTTTCACTGTTTCAACCACCTCCTTGAAAAGGTTGGTGTTGTAAAATTTGTGCATATCCAAAAACCCATTGATTGAGTCTTTTTTTTTTTTTTTAAATAATACTTAAAAGCAGGTGTGTTTTTTTTTCAACCAGAAATGTGGCCTTTTGTTTTAGGGCATGTATCTGCAGCCTGGCAAAATGTTGGCGAGTTAGTTTGTGTACAACGTCTTCATGATAACGCACAGAGCTGACTGTGCAAGAGGCCATGTGTCGTAAAATGCAGTAGAAAGCCCAACTGAGATGCATATTCTAAATTTGCTGAATGTCCAAAGAATGCTATTAAAACCCAAATAATACCAGCAACATGTTTTAATCAGAAAATGCTACACTCGGAAAAGGGCCAAATTCAGAAAATCCAAATGGAATATGCTGTTTGCATGACCAGTTCAGAGAAATAGATGAATGTTAGCGTGCATGTACTCAGTGAAAACAAGAAGAACATTACAGAAGATAAGTACACTGAAAGGCTATCTCTAAAAAAATACCAACCATAAATAGAATCAAAATGAAATTCTTAGAGGAAAAGTTTGATATGTTTTAACATGGACCCTTTTTTCCTTGTTTTTGTGTCACACAAACTGACAAACGAAAGGTACGATAAAACGTTTCACTTCTCTGTTGGGTCTTTTTCCTTAATGTGGTCAAACACTTATAATAACAATCTAAGCCTGGCAGACGTAAACTGACGGTGCACAACTGCCTGTAGCGATTACATTGCAGCCTGTATTGCTGCTGCGGCTCTCTCAATACAGGACCAATTTCAGAAACAGTTGTCTCCATTACTCACTTGGACACAAAAACATGGGAAAAAAGGGTCCAGGTTGAAAAATAATACATTTTCCCCTCAGGGAGTATAACTCTCAGGTCATCTGTTGCCGTACCTTGGGTGAAGCTATTTTGATATAGACAATGATGGGAGCCAGGGAGGTCTTAGCCAGCTGAGAGGGGTGGTTGATGGTGTCTGCATCCAGAGCGACCAGCTGGAGGGTGCGGGCCAGCTCAAAGATACGCTCAATCTCACTCTGCACCTCCGCTGAAGGCCCAGGACACAGATAAGACACGTAAATACAGCGAGACAGCAAAAACAATTGTGTAAGCTACTGTTCTCTTGGAGGAGATGCAGCGCTGTTTATCAGCCATAAGTACACGTTTGTACTTAATCATGCATGTTGAGGTTTTAGGAAAAAAAACAGTTCAAAGCGTATGAATTAGATTGGATCACAGTTAAGGTTCCATTTATGCACAGCTAAATGGAGCCGGCAGCATCCTCATTCTGTTGCCGCCTCCGAACATTCACAATTTCCTTACGTGAATCAGATCTTTTTTAAAGTCAAAGAAAGGAGGCACTTAAGAATGAGATGCCTGTGGCACTTGTAATCACTAATAATAAGGACACAATTTCTCACCATGTAAAAAAACAGAAAAAAAAACACCCTCATCAAACAAATTAAGCGGAACATTAGTTGTTGTTAGCTCTAATGGGCACAGCAGTAATTATTCTATCAGGTGAACTACTCACGTCTGGACTGCTTGGGTGTTTTGTTTTCATTGTTCCTCAACAACAGCCTATAAGAGCTTGTTATTAAGCATTTTGAGCACACAGCTCCCCCCATTTTTTGTTTTTTATCAGCTTGTTGACGTGTAAGGAGAGAGATTAAAACCGGAAACCAGAATGTTCCTCGCCTGTCTGGTCAAACCTCAGTGCCTCCGAGGTGTGCGCGATGCCAACCCAGCGGCAGAGAGAGATAACGGGGGCAAGGCAATCTGCAGAGAGACGGGGCCTGCGCACATTTCAGCAGCCTCCAGAGGGCTGGGGGATCGAGAATTAAAGCTGGAGGCAAATAAACACGACCTCCGCAGAGTGATAAGGAACGTGAACTCCAGCTCACATAAAGAAATAGCAGACAAGGTTTCCATTAACCTCAACAAAGACTTGGACTTTTGCAAATTTGGATTTGACTGCTGAGAGAAACTTGCTCCCCCGCCATGATTCGGCAGAGTGCATGAGGTGAGATCCAGCTTCTATACAGGCTATCCTTGGGTATGACTGCACACATACTGTATATGGATAGAATTATACGTAGGTCACCAAAAAGGGTGAGAGCAATATGGAAAGTATCGGCTTCCAATTTTGCTCACTCCCGCTCACAGTTTAGAGCAGACACCAGCCGCCCTGCCGCCCTCCCACAGATCTCTTCCCGCTTTGGCTTTGCGATTCTTTTCTTTTTTGTTTGAGACTACAGGCTGTCACACAGAAGTATGAGGAACAGAGAAACTGACAGGCAAGCAGACAGGCAGACAAACGATGTAAGAGCAGATGATGAATATAGTTAGAAGGAAAGGGGAGGGCGGAGAATTGAGAGAGGCTTCATTGTTTTGTTGCGAGGAGAGCATACGTACCCAGTACGTCTGAATCAAAATAGAGTGGAAGAAGAGGAAGATGGGAGGCGGGAGAGAAGGGAGGATGGGTGGGTGAAGGGCAGAGAAGACAGGATGAAGAAAGAGAGAGGAGGCCAGATCAGACTCAGACAGTCAGAGCAGGTATATAAGGGAAAGAACATGATGTACAACGGTACCTGCATGGTCTGTCTTTAATTGTCCTTAATGTGAGACTACAGTATGTATACTTGTAAAAAAAAAAATACAGATATTATAATCTGCAATCCTGTATCTAAAAATCCTGGCAGCCCTAACACTTAACCATATGTTACCGCAAGGATTTTAACTGAGACAGTCCAAATTATATTCATCATTTATATATAATAATATTTATGAGCTTTTTTTCATTATGTCACTCCTGCAGCATCATGAAAACACATTTTTACTGCTGACCTGCAGTTTTACAGTTTACATTTTTTTTTTAGATGTTTTTCTATGTGTTTGGAATTTCAAACTGCAAACCAAACTACCTCTAACAGCACAGAAACCTCCCACGTCCCATACATAAATTAAAACAGTGCTGAATAAACACCGGTTCAATCAGGTAGTTTTTAGCAACCCACTGAAAAAAAAAACAGTATCAGTCTGTGTACGTGTTCTCCATATTCAGGTTTCACCACTTTACCTTGCTCTCAGACAGTCCCTTCCGACGGGGAAAGCCATTAAGCCATTGTATTTTATCGGTGTCAGTGATTTTTTTCCGCCGATATGCCAATATAAAGTTTTGTTTTCCTTAGCTGCGCTGTTTTGCCCCTGGCGTGCTTCTCACTGCCTGCACGTACCACTCTAGGCACTTAAAAGCAAACTCAAGACCTACCTTTTTAGCCTGGCTTTAAATTGAGCTCTCTTTTATTTTATTTTATTTTATTTTACTACCATTCATTTGTTTACTTGTCAAAGTTTTTTTCAGTGCTGCTGACAGCTCCCTGTATTGTTTCACTGGAAAAGTTCTCAGAATAAATATATGCTTGCATTTGAATGTAGTGCTTTGTCAGTGTTTATTTTTTTTTAATTCTGTGTCAACCATGATTTTTACAGCAGACATATATCGGTTGTAAATATCGGCTATCGGTATCTCGGTTTCAAAATAATCGGTATCGGCATCAGTTCTGAAAAAAAAAAAACACATCGGTCGATCCCTATATCAAATTTATTTGGGATTATCCACGGAAGACTATTTTAACAACTTTATTATACACAACAAAATCCAGTGATTGTGAAATACCATGACTTATCCAGGTTTTTCATGACTGTGAGAACCCTGGTAATTTTACTTTGCAGAGCACGGGAATTGCTGGTCTATTGCTGCCTCGATTCGTTAGTGTGTATGGTAAAGCAGTGAAAATATTACAAATACAGCATACACTTAAACTGATATTGATTTTTTAGGGGTGACATTTTTTTAGGTGACTAAAATACATTTTGCTATGACCCCTGTCCACAGCGGTGCATTACTTAACTTCAGTGTCAGTAGATTTGGTTTATCCAAGATGCTACCAAGTTTGACGTCATAGTTGAATAGATCTATCTATCTATCTATCTATCTATCGGAGAAAAAACAAAGCAATAAAGATATGAAACACAGATAGTGAATTGTATTTAAATGGATGTTTGGCAACATGATGTGATGAACAGAAATGTTTTCCATTTGCTTGACTGCATTATTGTTTTATACGTTACTTTATCATCTGTGAAATAACAAAATAAGAATCTACTTATTGTCTTAACTGCAGAGTTAATAGCAGTTGTTTCTGGTTGTAGTTTGTGAAGATCTGAAGAGGCTTTATGGTGTCTTACCCAGGCTGGAGCGGGTACTGGAGCGCTCAATGATGGTGTGTTTGCTGGGGTTGTTGAGGACTGAACGTTTGGCAAGGGAGATGTCCGCTGTCACCCGTGTGATGGATATCCTGAAACAGATATCCAGTACACCAGTCGTCACCGGGTTACAGACCAGTTACAGCAGAGCCTACAGTACATGATCATGATCTCATTCTTACCTGCCCTCAAACTTGTGTTTCAAAAAGTCGAAGAGAGCTTTCTGCATCATGTCTGTCACCTAAAGGCGAAACATCAGGTGTGAGACATAAACTGTGAAAGTGAAGTTTTGAAACAAGCCAAGTTACTAGTTTTCCTCCTTACCTCGTATCCTTTGAGTGACGGCCCGACTAGGATGATGGGTCTCATGGAGGGAACCACATCATAGGGGGGGACATGCTCCATCTGAGCCAGGGGAAAACAGCACCAAGGTTGGGGTGAGTGAGGTTGTCATGTTGCATGTGAATGTACACTCAAAACACATAGCTCCCACAGACATAAATCAACATTAACTCAACACAAAAGCCCTGTCTTCTCCTCTGAGAGTGGTCACACTGATGGATGGCGAGTTTCAGACGCCAGAGTCCATTCGGTTTATTGACTGCCTATGAATGTTCGGAGGCAGCGATCAATTTCTCACTGAAAGCACTCGCTTCTATTTCTTCGTCTGCAATCTCACATAATTAAAGTGTCCATAATTAAACCAGACGCTCGGGTGTCAGGAGAGCTCTCGTGACTGAGCTGCGGCTCTAACACAGGCGTCATTCTTCACACTTTTCTCTTTTTGTTGTGCATCAGCACTTGTCGAGTTATTACTGCCAACAGTTGCTGAATTGTGATTTTTGTTGTAAAAATGCACTTTTTTTTTCTTATATCTGTGCGTCAACTTTTGTTACTCTAAAAAAAAAAGCCTTAACCCCAAATATATCCATTTAGGACATCTTGTTTTCTGTGTTATGAATGTTTGCCCTCCACTTTTAAATATTTTAAATCAGATTTTCACCTTTTTGTTTCCATTATTTTCTTTATATTTCGAGCTTTTTTCAATAATCAAATAAGCATATATTTTGGAATTTTTACATTAGTAAAAACTGAATAAAGAGAGTGTAGATACTGCAGTCTGCGACATTCCTGAAGCCATTTACACACAAGAAAAGGAGAAACCTATAACGATGGCAGAGCCTTATATAGAACACCCACACACAAACACGATCTATATTGCAGCGCATGAACTTGAGGCTTATTTGTACATTATGAATCAGAATGAATCAGAATCAGAATGACTCCATAAGCATCCATCTTCTTTAGAAACAGTCGGCTTTTCAATGAGAATGGGGTGAAAACAGTCACACATCCTATATACTTTCTGAACACTGGAATTTGATGTTTTTTTTTTGTTTTTTTTTTAGATCTGTATTCCAAGCACGCCCCCTCCTCCGTGCGCGCCGTGCAGCTCTTCAGGCAGGAGATAGTGCTGGAGAGCCTCACTCCACTACATTACATTACATAAAGCAGAACAACGGAAGCTCATTTCACCTCATTTGTATTCACAGAAGCTAAAAATACATATTTTAAAAGTTTCCTAATGGCTCTTGTCTCTAAAGGGGCTGAGCTGGAGCACTGAACATAACAATAGTGCTCACTGGTTTTGAATAACATGAGCACAGTGCACAGTTTTGTGCAGTGAGTAACAAGGTGGATGCCGTACATAATACAGATCTGGATGATGGTTCAATACTATGATTTACTGTCCCTCTTTACAATCTTCTAAAATACTAATGTTTTGGTATTATGGCTCACAGTTACCGTGTTTACAACAAATGGAAATTGTATTTCCTTAAAAAAGACACTTGAAAATGTACTTTTTCTTTTACATTATAGAATCTTCTTCCAGGTAAACATGAAAAACAACATTTGACTCAATGAAATGAACATGAAATGAACTTTTGACATGTGATTTTGAATCAATATTGTTGATAAGTATTGTCAAAAATATAGATTTATTTATATATATATGATTTTTTAATATTTTAAATCATTTAAAACGGTTTTGGTACTCATAATACTCGCAGTATCTTATTACCTCCGCCAAGGAGGTTATGTTTTCGCCGGCGTTGGTCTGTTTGTTTGTCTGCTTGTTTGTCTGCAAACTAACTCAAAAAGTTATGGATGGATTTTGATGAAATTTTCAGGAAAGGTGGATAATGGGACAAGAACAGATGATAAAATTTTGGTGGTGATCGGTTGAAGCAAAGTGGAAAAAATAATAAATAAAGTCTATCATCTGACAGCCTCAGCAGCAATTCCAATTTCTAATGAGAAATCTGGTGGCCGGAAAAGCATGTCTTGTACTTGCTAAATATTGTTGTAATTCTAATGTTCTGTGTTGGAAAAAAGAGAAAGTGAAAAATACAAAAAACATATTATATTCTGTGTTAGTACAAAATAAAAACAGTATAAATACACCACAGTGTCTCCATGGTGAAGGCATATATAACCTAATAATGACAGTGATGCAAATAACCTGATTGTGATGCAGGCTGCAAAATCTGATGCAGAGGGGGAGGGAATATCACCTTCTTGGCGGAGGTCTGCACTCTCTGAGTGCTTTTCTAGTTGTTAATGTTTATAATGGTCACTCTGCCGTTCTCTGCGTCTAACCAATCAAAGAAAAGTCACTGTTGTCATGTTATAACCTTTTTCTATTCATCATTTAATAACATTTTTAATGAATTTTATGCCCTAAATGTCTTTCCCCATGCTAAAAAAATGGTTTTGAATATCAATGTTTTTCTGGGTATTGTTTTGAAGTTAGAAATTCCAGTATCTTGACATCATTGTAAACACATCAGTATCTAAATAATGCTGTAAAAATTTCCAACATAACAAATATGAGTCCTGCTTGCATTGAATAAAATATAAGTTAAATGCCCTGAATAAGATTTTAAATACTCGTTATGTTAGGAAATACTGAAAAACATTTGCCTCAAACAGATTAACATGAAGTTGGCTTAAAAACTTATGAAAATATTTTCAATTTTCAATTTTAATATTGATGTAAAGCTGTGATAATGTCTGAAATCTTAATGTGAATGTGCACACCGCTCACCCATATCATAGCGTGTCTTTGCTCTGCAGCCGTAACGTGTGATTCAAATTTGTGCTGAAAAGCATAAAAACAGCTGACTGTGGGCTTCTGCCACTCAAATCAAGCGTCATAAATGGAAATGAAAGCGCGTCAGGACGTGTTACTGTTACACTCTGACTAACAGGGTCTGGGATGGATCTGCACCTGCATCTGCACACTGACAGCTGTGATACAAGCTCTAGGGAAACAACAGAGGCGCCACTGTGATTTGCAAATGATCCTGTAAATATTTTTTTTTTGCTTTAATGTGCCCTTGGCTGAAGAACATTCTGCGGACTGATTTCTCACCACCACAAGGAGGAAAATGTGAGACAAACAGAGGATGAGAAGTAAAGAGTTGAAGTGTTAGAGGTTAGTCGTGAGAATGAGCCACACTCACCGACTTCTGTTTCTGTTTAGCTGGGCCGCCTACAGTATCATTCCACACAAAAGCCAGAAGAGACACAAAAAAAAGCACAAAACACAAGAGAACACTTAGTTATTGACAGGTTAGGATTAGTGGGGAGAGGAGCTGTTTATTGATTAAAACAGAGTTTACAGTGACTGCCTCCGCTGTGGCTTCATTTTAAAATAGATTCAGACTGATATGCAGCAACAGCCATTTCAGAGTGTATCAGTTAGTTCAACGCCTCTCCCAGCTGACACAGGCACAGAAACAAACATCCAAACATATCTCAGCGTAACCGTCGTGATCGCAGCCTGGGGGGCCCAATGGTGTTAGAGTCAGGAGCTACAGTAGTGGCAGGAACAGATCAGTTGTGAGCAGTTAGTGGGAGGGGGGAGGAGAGATTAGACCTGACCACATTGTGGATGAGTAAGGGACAGGTGCAGGAGGGAGGCTGGTGAGGTAAGCGAGGTGTCCTGGGCCCCTAATGTTACCTTCTTAAAGAAGGGCAGTCGGTGTGCGTTGGCCTGAGGGGATGTTACGCTGCCTGACATGGCCTTGGGGGAGCGAGGGTCACCCTGGGACTCAGGGGGCTCCTCAGCATCCAGGTCGAGGGGGTCAACGTCAAAGGCCACAGTGGACACGTCCACGTGGGCTGATGAGGGGGGGGAAGGCAGGCGGGTGGTGCAGAGAGAGGGACAAAGAGGAGAAGAGACAAGAAAGAAGAGACAGAAAAGGCAAAGTAAAAGAGGATGAGAGAAGAGGAAATAAAAGAGGAGTAAAAGCAAAAAGGGGGAAGAGTAAATAGAAGTAAGAATATGAGATGCATCCAGAGAGAAGCATGGAGGAAATTGCAAGAGATGGAATATACTGAGACCAGAAAAGGTGACATAGTATGATTTAAACTGGAAATAACATAAACAAGAGTTTCCAAAAGAACACACCAGATTATCATGAAGCAAGGCACAGATGTGGGGTACGGTAACATGGACAGAGAGTGGATTCAGTGTGACGAGAAAGCAACAAAACTTGAAGTGTAGATGTGTAGAAGAGGATCTGCAGAGGAAAGCAGCGGAAAGGGAAGAAGGAATCGAGCTGAGAGGGAAGCTGGGGTTTGGAATTAAGTGTGTTGGGGTGACTGTTGGTGATGCAGATGTGGTCGGTGTGGGGGTCGGAGAGGGTCAAGGTTGGCAGCAAGGCAAGGTGTGTTGTTTTAAAGGATTTTTTTTGCTGTCTTGCCTGGAGTTAAGAGATGAGAAGATTGATATCACCCTAATACCTGAGAAAACTTTTAGTCTTGTCAATCTTCATTTTGATGAATATATTCTCACCCCAACTCGTCACATACTGCCGCTTGGCCATTACATATGATGCACTAGGTATCCCAGGTGCGTCTGTTGTTGATGTTCTGGGACGCCGTGTCAATTTACGCCTGTTTCGTGCATTGAGTCTTGGACTTTCTAGATCTTTTCTTTCGTGTCTCACGTGGACTTCACCGGCCAAGGGGCGATATTTGACAACGAAATGAGAATGTTCTGATGAGCCACTCCTGTTCTCATGTGGAATATGTGTCTAATGACGACACAAATCTGATACCTGACTTTGGCACATCATGTGTGCATGGACAGAGACAACTCAAAAACATAAAGTACAGAACATTTCAGCCTGACACAGTGTCTGTCCCATGTCATTCAGATCCTCGCATCATCGCAAGACTCAGACAGAGTGTGAGTTACTCAGGAGCATCATCAAGGACTGTATCTTGCAGACAGGCAGGAGCCTCTCAGTATATAACATGCTAACAGCGAAGGACACTGAAGCTTCACAGGTCGACGACATGTCAATGCACAAATTAAACCTTCTTACGAGACACAGAATCAAACATGTCTTTGTGATCAAAATGTCCTTAACACTGTTACCACAAAGGCTGGAAAACAGCAGGGAACAGCTGGCTCTGTCAATGGTAACAAAATCTGCCTACCAGCACCTCTGAAGCACACTAATTAACATGTTATATCTCCTCTGTGTCATCGCACATGTCTAAAAGCATACATAGGCTTTAATTTTGGATCTAACAATGAGATGTAACGTGTTCATTAGTCGGCTTAAAGGATGCTGAGATGGATTTTGTTACTTCTGGACAGAGCTAGGTGTTTCCCCATTTCAGTATTTGTGCTAAGCTAATGGAAGCTAACCGAGATATGAGAGTGGTATCAATCTTCTCATCTAACCCTCTCACCAGGAGGTGAGTAAGCGTATTACCCAAAGTGTCAAACTTTTGCTGTAGGTCAGATCGGCCACTGAGGATGTACGAGATGTATTAGATGGATGTGGTTTCAGTTATACACATATTGAGTTCAGTTCAGTGGCTCTGTTTGATTAACGAAATCCCTTTAAGTCAACCAGAGTATTTTCCCCATGTTTGCACTTCCATCTCTCCTGCTGTCTCTCTGGATGGCGAGCAGCAGCTCTGCGTCGTCCTGGCGATGCACGCACACACAAGCCAGACATACTCATCAAGTTTAATGAGTGCAGTCCATTCTCAGCTCTATTTCAGTCCCGTCCTGTGTGCTAATGACAGACCTCCTAAGACCTCTCTCACTTCACACAGCAACACACTGAGACGCGCCGTGATTCATCATCATGCCTGACTAACTAGCCAATTAAAATCTTCATCTAAATATCAGGCGCCTGTCTCATCTCTCTTGCTTGCTCGCTTGCTCTCTCTCTCGTGCTCTGTAAGGACTGCACACACTCCCACGCAAACACGCACAAAGACACTGTTTTGCCAGTGGATGCGGAGACCCCCTTGACCTTACCTGTGCCTGGTGGGGTGGGCCTGCGGGTTCCCGTGGCAACGTCCAGACTGGAGCTTCCTCCAGATTTACTGTAATGGAGAAAAACAGGCACAAATGATGGTGCGGTGAAACAAAGACAATATGGCAGTTTTACAATACTGATTACACATTGCTCATCATCTTCATCGTTGTTGTTTAAAGTTAGTTATATTTTATGCCATAAGTGAGCATTTGTTAGGTTTCCTCCTGCAAAAGGACACTGATCATCACAGCTGACAGTTAACAAGGTGCTGTAGTGACGTTCTGGTGATAAAAAATGGAGAGAAAATTTGGGAAAGAAGACGTGTGAATGAGCTGCTGATTATGTGCAGAATTCATCTGAGTAATTAAGAAAAAACAAAACAAAACAAGACAACATGAAATATTAATAGTGTGTGCACTGCAAATTGTATTTAAACATACGATCACCCTGATTATTGTGGTATTTATTTTTACAAATAATTTTAAGTGAGTGGAATAAAGCGATACATTCATGGATATAAAAAAACATACAAATAAAGCCAGGAGCACAGAGACCTATATATACATACTGTAGTTGCGCTGTTGAAGAACACAGTGAGTCACTGCAGTGCTTTTGTCTATTTAAGGAAGTTTTACATTGCCTGGTGGGTGAAGTGTGACTCAGGTCTGACCTGTTTTACAAAGCAGGGCTCTCGTTTGTGATGCTGATAATGTGGCTGCTGAGGGATTTTCACGCTTACCTGGAGCTGAGTCGGTTCTGTCTCATCCTCTGCTCCTGCAGCAGACGGGTGTTCTCCAGTTTGACCGGGCTGGGGATGAAGCCCACCTCACAGCCCTCCTTCACCAGACGTCCGATCCACCAGTCGTTGTTGTATTTCTGCACACAGACAGGTGTCAGTAACCAATGATATACCAGCATTTTCCAGTTCTTGGTGTGCAAAGAAAGCTTTTTATGTCCTTTAGGTTTCAGACAACAGTTCCTGATGTTATTCACACACCAGATTTACACACAGATTGTATCATATATATATCTCTATCTTATTATAGTACAAAAGTTTGTTGCTAAACATTACCGCATCGTGACCCCGAGGAGGATAGAGCCCACCTTCTTGCAAGATCATTTTTATGCCTCATGTTTGTAAACACCAAAAGTAACATTATGTATTCTAAGTGACCAACATAAATATATATGTGTTCAGAAAGTAAGAGCACCACTTTTATTAATTTACTCCGTATTCTACCACATTTGGATCATTCAGTTCTCCTTGCACTGCAGCTCTTGTTCGTGCTAACTCCCACTTATGGCCCGGGTTGGGTTCAGGCAGGAGAGGAGACAGTGCAATAAAATATGATCCCACTACAGGCTGTTCTCACAAACTGTTCGTATGTAATGCACCCAAAAAAGTAAAGCAACCAAATTCTTACATATCCCATGTATTTTGAAAGACCGCGATCACATGACCAATGCGCTGACAGGAATAAACAAGGGAGCAGTCCCGCACGGTCTCGTAAGAAGGCTGGTTGGTGTGGTGGGTGGGTTCACAAAAACAAACTTTCCCCTGGAGACGAGTGTTTGGAACCATGTGAACTTGGTCATTTTAAGGTACATCCTCGCCATGTGTCTCTTCCTAAACCTAACCACGGCAACTTCACCTGCCTAAGCCTAACCTCTGTAACTTTACGGACGTAATGCTAATAATTCGTAGGATATAATGCAAACCGTTCTATTAGAATACTTGGCCAACACCCTGCCAATAGTTTGAATCTCCAAGTAACCATTGTTTGTCTTTCGTTCCTACAACATCCAGCAGCTTCAGTCAATTTGTGATTCACATCAAGTTATTCACCTTTAGTTCAGGCTAAATTGGTAGAATGTTGTGCTTTAAAATACAGAAAGTACTCTGCACATCTCTCTACCTCTATTCTAAGTGTGTATGGTCAAAGGCTTAATGGAGTGTCTGAGAAACTCGTACCTCTTTAATGTGCAAGAAGTCTTTGGCTTCGAAGGATATGGCCATGCCCTGCACAGGAACGTCATCACTGGGGCCGGGGTTGTAACCGACATTTGTCCGCACAGCAAATGCCACCGGTTTGGTCTTGAGCAGAGATGGGAAAGACACACATTAGTATACAGATGGCGGCTTAATAAAACCACTTAACACCGAGTTCAGTGTCCCCTTGACACTGATGAGTAGGTTTACCAGTGTCAAAACAAGATTACGCAACAATGTTGACTATCAAACTGGCGCTGTACATAACAGATGGAGATACAACGGTTGATCTCTCACCTTTGCTTTCTCGAGTGTGGCGAGGGCCTGTCTGTCTGCCTCCTTCCTCAGTGCCTCAGGGTCCTCCTCCAGGGACACGTCTGAGTCTGACGGCCTGCTGGTGTAGGAGTCTGCAGAGCCCTGAAATGCATAATGTTTTTTCATACAGGTGAAGAGAGGAAAAACACAATATGTTCATGGATCAAGCTTTAGGGAGCAAAAACAGGAGCAGAAGCAGACCAATGAAACACAAAAGGGGCCTCAGCCTTCGTATGGCATGAAAGCTGACTCTGTGTAATTTGAGGTGGAGAGGATGCATAACAACGGGCTGACACTTCCCGACTGCAGCCTCAGTGAGGCCGAGGTGTTAAGTCTTTTTGCACAGGTACAACAGATTCAGTGTGTGGGTGTGTCAAGTAGAGACAGAAAGAGGCAGAGAGAAAAAAATGGCCTGAGGACTGTTTATAATATTAGGGAGGGATATAAATTTCTCATGAAGTGGCTATAGTTTCCAACACATCCACCACTCATGCACAGTAACTTGACCCTCTCCTGCTGACCCTCATCCAGACACCCATACCATAATAAAAACTCGAGCCTCCTGTGAGCCTGCGGCGCCGGCCCACTGTACCGTTCAGCAGAGCAATGCAGTGAGGGAGGGAGGCAGCCTGAACTTCTGAAGTGTTTGAGTGTTCAACTTATATAACAATCTCACTTATTCTCTTCTTGCTGTTTTTTTTTTTTTTTTTTTTTTGTATTTTATTTTCAGCTGACAGGCTGCCTGGCGCTTTGTAGGAGGTGCTGACAAGAATGCGGACAGCTGAATGTGCCAAGCAGAAGAAGTGAGTCACTAGGTGTGGGCTTTTAAAATAGAGGTGAGAATGCGCAAAGATGACATACACCATATGTAATGATGATGAAAAATTCCCTTTACATGTGTAGTCAGACAACACAAGGAGTGCTCTCAGTGAGTACAACAAATATCTCTGGACTACGGCTGCGTATTGTTTGAATTCTTTCAATATCGGTGCCAACATCATACCTGAGTTCAGGCGCTGACACCAAACCTGCATCAGTGGTAAATAAAAACATTCAAAGGAAACCATGAGGACATTTTCAAATACTGAAAAAGGCAAAAATAAAATAAAGCTCATTAAAGCCCACATTTTATGGGTCCACAACATTGGGCCACCATTCATTGTCTATGAAGCAGCTCCAGACTGTATACCCTATGACATCACAAGTTTGAGACTGACTTGTCTGGTTTCTGGCTTTGAGGGAGAGTAACTCATGTTCACAAGTACTGATTGAACTTTTCTCGGCCAAGGAAATAACATATTGGAAATTTTAATTTAGATGGTGTTCGCTTTAAAGGAGCTGCATATGTCATTCAGATCAATAATACGGCAGCAAACAGCTATTTGCTATGTAAAGATACAGTGGAGTAACTGCGTCCTGAGCTGAGAATGAAGTCACGCTCTCTCTCTCTCTGTGCTTTTATCTGAGCTTCTTTGTTCTTTGTCGTTGGTGCGGCCATGTTAATGCATGTGAGTCCCTGTGTGTCACTCTGGCTTGCTAATCGCCGCTGTTCTGTGCTGCTTTCATAAGGCAATTACAGCTACGGCATCGCTACAAAAGCATGACATCCACTTTCTTTTACCCCCTCCAGGTTAGCATCGTTAGCTCTGTCAGCACTGTTACCGTTGTTAGCACTGTTCATGCTGTGAACATCCTTAGCTGAGCTGCAAACTCAGGTGTCTCCATGTTGAGAGCCGTGTGCAGGCAACCTCTGAATCATGCTCTGAATGATGTACACAGCTCCTTTAACTATAATTTAAAGATAGATTTAGCTCAGGAAATAACCGATGAAAGGATTAGTAAACCTACCAAGGATTTGATGCGATACAAAATTCGCAGTCAACTCTTCCAAGTAGTGAGATTTGATATCCAGTCCTACTCTGAACTCTTGGCTGCCAGCTTACTGTCATTTGAATTGTTCTGCATGCTAATATTGCTTATTTTAAATATGAAAAGAAACCTGAGATGTCCTTGTAGCCTTGTGGTTAAGACGCATACCATATAACGGCAACATCCCTGGCTCGATTTTGGTGGGGGACCTGTGTTGCAGGTCATACCCCTCTCTTCCCCCCTTCTTTTCCTGTATCTGTTTTAACAGCCAACTATCCAATAAAAGTTAAAGAAAGGACAGAAATCAATGGAAGAATCCTTGGTGGCATTCCCCAAGAGGACCATTTCAAACCGAGGTCTAAATATATTCGGAGAGAATAACTGGTCATATGTGGCAGAGTGAATCATCTGTGTGGCGTGTCAGTGAGTTTGCACGTGCATTTATGTGTTATTAATGCTCCTCTACATGTCTGATTACCATCCATGTGTCGCCATATGATTTCAAATGAAACAACAAACACAAATGTTGATTCTAGCTCAGCCACCTGTCGCACAGAGGCGCTCTGTGACTTGGCAACAGCACAATAAATGTAGACACTCCCTGTTGCCAAGGCGATGGCTACCTACTCCGAGCATCCTCGGGCATTCACAAACCATCCGCACTTCCTGTTTCTATTACTCAAACCCAAATGCTTGCGGCGGTGTGCCCGCATCCCACTCAGGTAGGAGGAATGATCCTGTGAGTGGCATGCAGAATCTAATGAGGACAATAAGAGCCACCCCCACTTACCAGCTGTGAGTCATCTTCTAAACCATACAAGTGCATCCCAGCATGGAGCACCGACTAAGTGAAGGTTAACAAACCTTGATGGGGAACCCACGGGAATGTTTTTAGACAGAAGAAAAAAGCCCAAATGACGTCTGAAAACAACCTGGGACTGACCGGCTGACTACAACAGGTCGGTGATGCAGCAAAATGTAGAGCGAGAGAGAGAGTGGGAGGGATTACTCTTTGTGTGTTTGTGTATATGAGTGTGTGTAAGTGTGTGGACAAATGCTTGTGTCTGTGAGTCACTCATCCAGTTGATGCACGTCACATACAACCAGAGGGGAAAAAAAGACTATCAGGGAAAGGAGAGACAGAGAAGGATTGATGGATTCATGAACACTGACACATAAGTCAATATTTAATATGAAAACAGGTGCATGTGGATGGGGGGGGGGGGGGCAAAATAGCAGCTGATCAATAACCTCTCTGCACCCTGAAACTCTTTCAAAATGTGTTGATAGACTGAGCAAGAGACTGAACACATGTCCTCCACCTTTTCATAACTGGCACTCTCTTCTTCTTCTTCTTCTACTGCTCCTTGTTCTTCTCTCATGTCATCGGGTTGTGTCTCTAATTTAGCTGCTTGCTTCACTTCACATACAGCTCCTGTTCAAAATAGCTATAGGTCACCTGATGGCGGAGCTGCTTTCCTATTGGCAGTGCCAGACTAGAGACCCCAGCAGTGTCATAGTAACCATCTCTGCAGCGTATTACGAGCAGCCAGTAAAGGCTGCATCAGGAAGGAGATAGAAAGAAGACATAGGGATCAATAGTAAATAATAAATACCCTGAAGGGAAATTGCATATAAGCTTTTCAACAGGTGATCGATGAAGCATTTTCTCACGTCGTGTGAGCAACAGCTGTGAAGCCACGGCCTGGTCATTAGCCTGGAGGATGACATAGAAGTGACTACATCAAACAAAACAATATGGCCTTCAGGGAGTTTTTTCAGAATGAAGATGTCAATGTTTTTACTAACAAGACGACTAAACTGACACTTTTCTATGTCTGGTTGGTAGAATCTGAACTGTACTGTATTGTCACCAACCACAGAAGGTTAAGAACACAGGTAAGGTGCAAAGAGGCGAGGCTCAGCAATTATCCCGAAAATGAACTGACTGTGTTTCTTCTCCATTTTCTGCACAGTGGCTGCCACCATGATGAATTCACACCTCCTTAGCATTGATATTGAATAAATGAGTGGGGGG